AGAAATATGATCTTGCTGGCAATCCTTCCATTTTAGAAAATCTAAACAGTGTGATTCCATTCTGTTTTTCCCTCTCCACTCCAGAAACAAAACCAGTAACCAAATCCATTCTATTTCTTTCAAAACACATCTAACAATTAAGAGATGATATGCATGGCTCCATACTCTAAAAGGAAACCTTAGTTCCTGGGTATCATGGACTGTTGATGAGTGCTTGTTCAATTGACTGGTGTAGACTTCAATAATAAACTCTTCAATGCACTGTTCCAGATAAATCTTGCATCTCAGAAGTAGGACAAATACTGTTATTTTACTTCTGTCTACACATAAATGCAATATTTACATGTATTTATAATGGGTTAATACAAACAAACTGAGTTAACTGTTCTCGAGAGTAATAGAATTTGGACAACATGAATTCTCCTGTACTGGCATATAATTAATAGTTAGAGGCATTTTATTTCATGTGAAAGGTACCATTAAAAAATCGATGTTTAGTATTAAATAATTATTGCACATGATCTTCTCATCTGAGTTAATACTGAAGACCTACCCCCTGAAGCTGGTTTATCAAGTTGTGAATCTTCACGTGTAGAATTAATAAGTTCATGCCTGAAAGGTGAGAATAAACATTTAATATTTACCAGGCAATATTCAGCAAAGTAATATCCACTAATACATACTTAACGTTTAATCACCCAGGGTGGTTTGGAAAAGAAAAGACAGGCTGGGGACGGTGGTTCAGATGTATAATCCCAACATTTTGAAAGGCCGAGGCAGGCAGATTATGGGTCGAAAGTTTGAGACCAGCCTGGCCAATATGGTGAAACCCTGCTCTACTAAAAATACAAAATTTAGCCTGGAGTGGTGGCAGGTGCCTGTAATCGCAGCTACTAAGGAGGCTGAGGCAGAAGAATTGCAAGAACCCAGGAAACAGAGGCTGCAGTGAGCCAAGATGGTACCACTGTACTCCAGACAGGGTGACAGAGCAAGACTCTCTCTCAGGAAAAAAAATAATTAAGAAAAAATCATCTGAATGCTTGAGCACAATTGAATCTACAGAGTAACAAAACAAAATTACAACTGTAAATTGTCTCATCAGGTGCTTCATGGAGCATGTATCCTCACAAGTAAAGTGGTAACTTGGAAACACAAAGCTCTTTTGAAGCATATTACAAGCATTTTAAATGGGATACTTTAATATCCCATTGCATTCAAGGCTATCTCCTTCTAAAGACCTATAAATACAATCATATATTCCCTCATATGTTTTAAAAGTCTCAGGCCTAAAAACAAGACATGTATACTATTTTCTTCCATGTACCAAGGAAGGAAGGGAAGAGAGAAAAGAAAGAGAGAACCAGGTATGGTGGTTCACACCTGTAATCCCAGCAGTTTGGGTGGCCAAGGTGGGTGGTTCCAGGAGTTTGAAACTAGACGGGGCAACATAGTGAAACACTGTCTCTACTAAAAATACAAAAAATAGCTGAGTGTGGTGACATGTGAAGGTAGTCCCAACTTCACAAAAGGCTGAGGTAAAAGGATCATGAGTGTCTGGGAGTTTGAGGCTGCAATGAGCCATGATTACAGCACTGCATTCCTGCCCGGGCGACACAGTGAGATCCTGTCTCAAAAAAGAAATGTTGGGGAAAATGTGGAGAAACTGGAACCCACATACATTACTGGTGGGAATATAAAATGGTTTAACCACTTTGTTTGGGTGTTTCTTTTCTTGTCATTTTCATTTATTTTTTAAAATCAAGACAAGGTATTTCTATCTTGCCCAGGCTGGTCTCTTTTAACTCGTAAGCACATGTGATCCTCACACTTCAGCCTCTCATGTAGCTGGGATTACAGATGTGAGTCACCACACCTGACTGGTATAAACATTTTGGAAAACAGTTTCTCAAAATGCTAAATGTACAGTATCATAGAATGCAACAATCTCTCTACTAGGTATATATCCAAGAGAAATAAAAATATATGTCCACACAAAAACTTGTACATGAATCTTCATAGCAGCATTATTAATAATGGCCAATACATGAAAACAGCCCAAATGTTCATCAACTGATGAACAGATAAATAAAATGTAGTTTGACTCTACCATGGAGTATATTATTCAGCCATAGAAGGAAAAAAATACTGACACATGTTATGACATGAAGGAACTCTGTAAACATTGTGCTAGGAGAAAAAAAAAAAAAGAAAAAATGCCAGCGACCAAAGATCCCCACATAATGCACAGTCCTATTTATATAAAAGGTCCAGATTATGCAACTCTATAGAGGCAGAAAATAGATCAGCAGTTGCCTATGGGAGCACAGGGGTATAGGGAGAGTAGGAGCTAGTGGCAAAGAAATGCAGATTTCTCTATAGGGTAATGAAAGCTTCTAAAATTGATTGTGGTGATAGATGCACAGCTCCATGAATATTCTAAAAATCACTGAATTGTATGCTTTGACATATCAATTGTATGGTATGTTAACTACATTTCAGTAAAGCTGTCATTTAAAATAAACAGAGGGCTAGGCGCAGGTGACCCATGCCTGCATATAATCCCAGAACTTTGGGAGGCTGAGGCAGGAGGACTACTTAAGACCAGGAGTTCAAGACCACCCTGAACAACATAGCATGATCCCATTTCTACAAAAAAAAAAAAAAAAAAAAAAAAGCTTTTCGTGGTGGTGTACACCTGTAGTCCCAGCTACTTGGGAGGCTGAGGTGAGAGTATTGCTTGAGCCAGGAGTTTGAAGCTATAGCAAGCCATGATCACACCTCTGCACTGCAGCCTGAGTGATGGAGCAAGAAAAAAGGAAAGAAAAGAAATGCAAGTTTATATGATTTTGTGAGAGTAACCAAGTTTGAGAAGAAACAGAGAAGAAAAAATGAGCACTGAATGTTTAGGGTGGCTGGTTGGTGAGATTCAGTTGCTAGCTAACTGGCTTCTGAAAAAATTTGTTAGTAAAATTACAGCTCTGGGGATCAGCCATGCAGTCAAATGAAGAATGTTAAATCCATTACAAATGCTCATTATCTTTCTTTACATGCCTTCTAGTAAAAAATTCCTAAGGGCCTAAATAGCAAGTGGTATGAAATGACAGCAGCTCTTTATTAAAGAAATAACATCTCAATCTTGAAAAACCATGTGTCAAATATTGTTTTCCTCCTCCCATTTTATAAGTGTGCAACCGAAAGGACAGAGAATTGAAGTAATTTTCCTATGTGGCAGAGCACAGATTTAAATCCTTTCACTTTGGTCTGAGAGTTTGTGCTTTATTTTATTATTTTAAAATTCATCTTTAAATTTTTTTTAAAATTTTTTAATTTTATTTTTATGTTTTTATGTATTTTATTGCATTTTAGGTTTGGGGGTACATGTGAAGAACATGCAGGATAGTTACATAGGTATGTACATGGCAATGTGGTTTGCTGCCTTCCTCCTCATCACCTATATCTGGCATTTCTCCCCATGTTATCCCTCCCCAACTTCCCACCACCGCCACCCCTTGCTGATCCTTCCCTAGTTCAAAGCCAAGAGGCTTGTGTAAAATTCTGCTAGGATTAAAAAAAAAAAAAGCCTCTTGCTTTTCCTGACCACGGGTGCAGGCAGCACTCACGCTGTATTTTCTTTACTTTATGTATGTCCTCCTTGGATGGAGACATGACAGGAGCTCCCTTGGTCACTGTGCACCAGAAAGGAATTTGAAGAGAAGCACAGGGAAGCCAGTCTTACCTTCTTTGAGCTACTGAACCAATGTCAGCCTCAGCCCACCTGCACAATTATTATTATTATTATTATTATTACTATTTTCTGTTTTTTTTTTTAAATTGTATTTGGGCTCTGGGGTACATGTGTACATCCTTCATCCTGCAGGATTGGTGCATAGGTTCATACATGCCATGGTGGTTTGCTGTCTCCATTCCCCATGTTGCCTATGTCAGGCATTTCTCCTGGTGCTATCCTTCCACATCCTCCCCATCCCTTCTGCTGTTCCTCCCCTCCCTTCCCCTCCATGCCCCCACCTAGCCCTGTGGGTGTTGTTCCCTTCCCTGTGCCCAAGTGTTGTCAATGTTCGTCACCTGCCTATGAGTGAAAACGTGCAGTGCTTGGTTTTCTGTTCTTGTGTCAGTTGCTGAGAATGATGGTTTTAGTTTCATCCATGTCTCTACAAAGGACACAAGCTCATCGTTTTTTCTTGCTGCATATTATTCCATGATGATAGACTGGACAAAAAAAATGTGGCACATATACACAATGATTTTATGTGAGATAAACAGGCTCTTGTTTTTAAAAAATGATGAATTTTAAAATAATAAAATAAGGACTTGGCACGGTGGCTCATACATCTAATCCCAGCACTTTGGGAGGCTGAGGTGGGTGGATCACAAGGTCAGAAGTTCAAAACCAGCCTGGTCAGCATGGTGAAACCCCATCTCTACTAAAAATACAAAAATTAGCCAGGCATGGTTGCACACACCTGTAGTCCCAACTACTCAGGAGGCTGAGGCAAGAGAATCATCTGAACCCAAAAGGTGGAGATTGTGGTGAGCAGAGACTGCACCATTGCACTCCAGCCTGGGCAACAGAGCCAGACTCCATCTCAAAATATAATAATAATAAAAATGAAATGAAATGAAATAAAGCACAAACTCTGAGGCCAAAGTGATAGTATTTATATCTGTTCTCTGCCACTTAGGAAAATTACTTTAATTATCTGTTCTATAGGTTGCACACCTGTAAAATGGTAGGAGGAAAATAATATTTGACTCACGGTTTTCAAAAATTGAGATGTTTTTTCTTTAATAAACAGCTGTTATCATTTCAGACCACTTGCTATTTAGGCACTTAGAAATTTTTCACTAGAAGCCATGTAAAGAAAGATGATGGACATTTGTAATGGATTTAGCATTCATCATTCTCCCTATTTGGGAAATCACAGCTGGCTGCAGTAGCAAACAATCCTAATTCCTGGTAATATTGTTCCTGGTAATGGCATTTCTACAGCTCCAATCCCTTTAACTCATTACATTAGCTCTTCATTTCTCTATTTTTCTTAACATCGAATTGATAACCAAGAGCTTATGTTATTAAATAAGCTTTAGGTTAACAGGATCAATATATGAAGACTTTAAAGATACCCCCCAAAAAAAGCTCACAGAAGTACACACCGAATGTGCCAACTGATTACTATGAACTGATTTACTTTTGAGAGAGAAACATGCAGTTTCTTATATGCTACTGACAGTGCCTGTAAAAATGGTGCACATTAACTGGCTGTTTTATTTTCTTCCCAATCTTAATATCTAGTACCCACAGACATCAATCAGGGCGCCAGCATATACAATGTAATGTTATACTAGAGCTATGAGGGGAGGCAAAGAGTAGAAATCAGAGCTACTTTGCTAGCAGGTGTCCTCTGTCCAGAATATTTAAAAGGAGACTATTCCCCCAGAGCTCACTTGCAGAATGTCAGGTCAGTGAGCCCTGGGGGAATAGCCTCCTTTAAAACACTGTCTTGTGCAGCCCTCAGTGCTTCTGCAGAATGCGACACCATGCTAAAAAGCACCATCTCCTCTACCTCTTACCCTTAGCATGTGTTACTGGGCTT